TCACCAATTTATCTTTTTTTTTTTTTTTACCACTAAACTTGGTTATAGTTACATTTTATAAGCTTAGCCAAACATGCACTAGTTGGTGGAGTTGTTCGTGGCCTCCCATATTGTTTTCCATGCCATTTAATTTGCGTTAAAAGAAATAAATTAATTACAAGGTGGATTATTTGGTAGGAAATAAATATTGATGCAAAGGATCATGGCAACAAGATTATGATTGGATTAGATTATCTTCCAATTATTAGTTAGGTTCAAAGTCAATCCATAATTTTAAACCAAAATATTTGGTAAAATACGTGTATCTATCTTTATAGAATGAATAAACTCTATGATTCTGAACAAAAGAGACATGAATACATATTTATAACTATGTCTTTCATCGTAAATGACTACGTAAGTGAAAATAATTATCAAGATGATTTAATAATCTATTTCGATAATAATTTATTAAATCAATTAAATCATCGACGAATATAAGACGAGTGAATGGTTAGTATAACAAATTAAGATTTGCCAAACAGGTGGAAGCTATTAACTCAAGTCACAACTTGGAGCACTCCAAATGAAATCAATTCAAATCACGTATGTTCATAACGTGGGGACAATTAAGATTGATTATTTCAACAACCATTTTCAATTATTGAAAGGAAAAGCGCATTTTCAGATTCTCAAATTGATTGGATTCTAAGCTAAATCGCATTTACAATAGAGGTGATGATTCTTCTTATTATTTTCTTTTAAAAACATTTTCTAAATATGTATTATAATGTTTTGTACTAGAAATGAAAATAAATAAAGCAAATTGTCAATATCAAATGAACTGTACGCTTACAGGGGGGAAAACACTGTAGCCGTTTGTCTGCTGACGACTGACGAGAAGACTCATGCAATCGCGTAAACGTATAATGTGTGATAATACTAAAATAGTTAAAAACATACGAATATCCCAACAAAAATCCTGACTACAAGTAAATACACACTTTTGGTTAGCTAAAGTTATATATACTTATTACATTAAAAAAATCAAAAAAAAAAAAAAAGAAAGAAAGTAAGAAAGAAACCTATACAAACATTTGAAATTAAAATTTTAATCAAGAAGATAAAACTGAAATTCATAGGCCAAGAAACGACTTTGGGCACTACAGAAATAATTGGATCCAGGACCACTGTGACGGGCACATGCACAAGCACAAGCTTCACATTATTAGCAAAAATTAATTTGCCGAATTGACATTCAGCTGGGAATAAATGTTGGAACAACATTAAATAGCAAGTTCATATCAAATCTGCAATTTAAATGGAACAGAACCACATCCCTACTACTTGTGTAAAACCAATAAATTCACGATAGACTAATAAATTAGAACAAATTTTCTGGCTAATGTGCATTTGGAATGATACTTACCAGATTCTCCTTAAACGTAGGCTTTATGTTCCTGTTATTGAATTATTCAAAGTCCAAGCTTATCGTTATAATTCATTTCCAAAGCAGGATACAACCTTGTGTAGAAATGCAAATCGTGCAAAATACAAACATCAATGAGACTGCCAAAACGCTTTTATATACAACATTGGTGTACTCTATTCTATTATGCAAAGCCCATTAAATAATTGTAAAATTCTATAAACCATTCTAAATTTGGTCGAAAAATATATATTGCAGTAGCTTTTGGATTTAGCATCTAAAATCTACTATTGCAACCTATCAATTTATGAATCAACCCATTATTTTATAATGCCAAATTCAATTCATGTGCGCAAAAATATCAAATTTTACATGGATAAAGGCAAGGGTTTCATTTTGAGAATATTATAAATTTATAATAGGAGGTAAATGAATCATTGATGTTGATTTCTGAGGATGATTTACTGCCTGTTTTGGAATTTGGTGAAAGCTAAAGTCTTATGGCAGTTCTTGAAAACGCCTTCTTTACAGCAGCAGAAGATCTGGAAACCATTTCTCATGTGCTGGAATAGAAATCAAACAAACACAGACTTGAACAGATCCCTGAATGTGAGGGCAGAATCATAGAAGTGATACAAATAGCATTCACTTGCATAAAGATAAGTGGCTCAGCTGTCGTAGAGGAGAAGATAGTACTTTGCTTCTTTTAGCAATGCGGGATGCATTTAGCCTCGTTCCAACTAAAAATTAGATTTTAAGTAGATTTTGATAAAAATGTGAAGACAAAATTTCTGAATTTCTGATTATGAGATTTTATTTTTTTTATTTTTTAACAATAGTGACCAAACGTGAACTTAATGTATATTGATCGTCCACTCAATCATCATAACAATAAGTTGTCATGGATATTGTGGTTGAGGTAGCGAAGAAGACAGCTTCGTTCAACGAGTGTTCGTGGGAGCATGTATTGGCTAATTGATGACGAAGTAGGCTAACACCGGCTCTAGTTAAGGCCAAGTATTGTTATACCCGCCATTTTTGTGTGCTCTAGTAAATCTCTAAACTTGGAACGCCCATTTGTATCCAACCATATTGTTGTGAGATTGGCTCATGAGGTGCGTCAATTATTGGTGAAGTATCATAAGTGTGTTGAGGTCCTTAGATTGGAAATCAAGACGCACTAATTTGTGGAAAAATAAGCATTGATTTAGGACAAACGTAACTTTTAACATAAAAAACGTCATTTCATAACAAAACTTGCAAGTCCTAGGCTCGTGAACTCGATACAATTTGCTTCACTAGAGCCATTTCCCCTACACGACAAACTCTTTTAAGAGTTTTGGAACATCTGAACTACATATTTGATAGCAAGGATTGGATAACTTGGACAATATTTAAATAAAAAGAAAAGATAAATCTTGTTCGGTTTATTGTGTAGTCCTTCCCAATTATTTGTATTGAAACATGCAACTGGTCGACTCTATCGACCATCAAGGAAGGGCAGAAGATCTACTGCGGAGGGTCCTGTAAATTGCTCTGATAGTATTGGGAGTTGTTCTGCAGCAACCACCAACAAGGGACGCTCCTACTTCACACCATTTGTTCACACAAGACACGAAATCTTGGTCTGAAACCCCGGTGTTTTGCTGCAAAAGAAAACAGATGTTCTTAACGGTACTGATTTGGTCTAACAGGAAACGGTTTACCAGGAAATTAGTATCGACACCAAGAGGATAAGGAAAAAAACAGCAAGCAGCAAAAAAATCAGTCTAGGACAATATATCATCTCTTTGAAAAGAAAGAACTTACCACCCACTCCTTCCGATCAGCATCATAACTCTCTCCACTATTTGGGTAAATAAGTATTGGTTTGTCCGTTACCTAACAAGCAAATAAAGATAAGAAATGAATATTAATAAAAAGTTGTTGCCCAGAAACCAAAGAAATAAGATGAAACCACTATCAGATAAGGGTCCCACGTTATAAACAAAAGAACGAATGGCAGAAGATATTTAATACCTTCTTGATGGACAAAATCAGGTCTCGAATAAATCTAGGGGGGGTACAGTTAATTCCTACAGCAACAATTTTCTTGCACGATTCAGCAATGGCTACACACTCAGACAAAGAATCGCCGCTAACCACATTAACACCATCCTTAGAGTTGAAGGACAACCATGCAGGAATATTAATGTCTTCTTCCTCCAGAAGCTGAACAAAAGCCTGGACGAGAACTAAATTGTCAACATCTAAACTAAATAATGGAAGTTTACTGTTAAAAATATTGAAGCTCTAATTATCAGGAACAACAATCAAAAATTTCTTCACTTCCTTTGTTAGGACAACTTTCACTATATCACGATTGTGTGGCTTACTCTTACTTACATTTGAGCAAAAAAAGTTGCTTACTTTGAAAGTAACTAATACCTTAGTCAAAATATGTAACTTCTTTCCAACTATAATCAATTAAAAAACTATTCATTTTAAAAATTACTTATTTACCTCTAAGCGAAACTTTAAGCGTACCAACTCAAGTTTTTTATCTACCTTTGAAGAGATCAAATGGGCAGTTTAGTTAGGATATCAGTAAAATGTTCATACCTGAGCTTCCAACTTGTTTGGTACTGTTTCAAAAGCTATAAGATCAGGACCAGAGTCCGCAAGAACCTTAACTCTTCTTCGATGAAAGGTCTTCAAAAACTCCATATCCATAGCATCTCCATAGCAACCACTGCAAGTCGGCAAGAATGAGTCAGTTCCAACGTGAAAAAAGGAAAATGTTAATTAATTTAGGTGTGTCCACCAAACAATATTCAAGAACTGAGAATGCAAATCGACTGTGGATGAGGTCATGGTAAATTCCATTTTCCAAAATTGGAAAATATAAAATATCAACAAAAAATTATATGATACAAAACAAAAGTCACTCATAAAAAAAGTTGTGTGTGTGGATGTTTACAACATAGAAACCATATCAAAACCAGGTAAAAAGAGATGCATGTGTTGTTACTCTCAAGTATTGGAGTGAAATTCACCTATATTCAGAACCATCAGCTAGATAAGCCCCGTAACTCCCCACGGATGCTGCAACCATGATGGACCGATGCTTGAGAATTCTACCGTCACCAGTATAGTCAGAAGCAGATTCACAACTCCTACTGTAGTATATATCTCGAGCCTCACGTGCAATTTCAACACATTTTCTGAGCAAGTTCTCACTCTCATCTTGAGAAAAGCCTTTAACCTCAAACCCCTGGATTGTTGCCTGTGTATATCCAAAAATGTTACACTTTAATTGATCAACACATACACAAAGGGAAATAGAGATTGTTCTGAATTATAAAAGTACCTGATAAGATGCTGTGATTATTATATCTGCACCAGCTTCAAGATAATCAAGGTGTACCTGTTCATCAAAAATAAAATATGAGCCATGCTAGTATATACAAATATTTTCAGGAGTGCATATTACCTTTAATCTATCAAACGAGCAGGATTCATATATTAAGTCTCAGAGTTATTACAAGTTAAGCATGTTCAGAAATTGTATGCTGCTGGTTACACCGTTTAATTTTTAGCATCAAAGTGAATTGAAATTTAAACCTTTGCAAATCATCGTCTTTTAGCCTGTCAAATAAATGTGAACTATTATTCTTTAATCAACTTCTAGGTGCATGATAATGATATAAATTGCCAAAAGATGAAAAATAATCCATATAAAATAATGTAAATGGGAACTCTTGTGACTTCAAGTCAAACGACAAGTGAGGAGCCATCCCCGGTGATGTAAGTTGCATGATACTACCAGAAATGCAATTAGATTAGAATATAAATCTTTGCCACGTAACGAGTTTTATAAACTACTCATCCCCACATCAATTCATGAAGAAGATCCAATCGCTGAACAAGTTCATAACTCAAGCTATCCGTCTTACATTATTAGTCCTTAAAATTTCATAAAATAAGTTGTGTTATGGGAAGAGGTTCAGTTTGCGGTGGTTCAAAATATATTCATAAGTTACTATATCTCTTTTTGAGTTATCGTAATTTCTGTACATGATGCATCTACAGAAGAAAAAACTCCTTATCAGAACCTTCAACTATACAGATTATAACCAAGAAATCAGAAGAGGAACTACAAGTAAATATTACATTCTTTAGTCCACGCCGCCTTTCCTAGACACCATGCCGTTTTAGTAAATGCAAATATGTATACACTGAAGATTGCAAACATTGCAGTCCAAAACTCATTAATTTTATTTTTATTCCTTATCTCCACTTTCTATTGGAAAGACATTTGACCCAATCCAAATATAGAAATGAATAAGGGAAAAAACTATTAAATGCGAAACCCTACAATCTAAAACAGCTGAGATCCATTCCACCTTTACTATCCACCCTGCTATTTCAGTATATGCCATATGTGTAATAAATTGAAGATAATTGCCACATGGTGGTACAAATTCATTATTTTTCTTTCTTCCTAACACATTAAATTCATAACTTGAAGCTTCAACTTCCCTTCACTGAGCTATAGTAACAAAATATACAGTGGTCCAACTTCAATTTTTGTAATATTATAAGAGAAGATTTAAAGCTGTCAAAACTGACACATAACTAAATACATACAAAATAAGCCCATAAAGAATCTAAAGCAAGAAAAAATTATAATATCTACAAACATTACTTCAATAGATTTAGGATTATCCTCGTAAAATCCCATTTTAACATTATTAGTTAGGTTTTGTTGAATATCAATAGATAAATGTTCTCTCTTTACGGGCTTAAGCTATGAAAATGAATCCGATTCGCTTAGAGGACAAAGAACTTGTATGTAAAGATTGATAGTAAATTAGTAATAATATTGAATATTCACCATTTTAAACAAAGATCAAGAAAACACAAGGAAAAATCTTGAAACCTGAAAGAAATGAATGAATAGAAAAGAAACTTACGGTACGGATGAGATGAGGAGAAGTGAGTAGGCATTTGGCACTCCATAGAGGGTCATTGAGGTCGGCGCCGTGGCGTTCCAACTCCGTCGCAAGGCCGCCGTCGATCACCGCAACCCCGCCGTGTTCACCGAGGAAATCTGACATACGGGCCTCGATGGGTCCCATTTTATATGAAAAACCAAGAAGTGGAAATCTCCGACGAAACCCAGAAGACAACTTGGCACTGTTCGCTAACGGCTCAGTTTACATATAGAAAGGACATGTTAGACAAGGGTTAGCTATTTCCCTAAAAAAAATTATAATATTGTTATAAAATGAGAAGAAAAGAGAGTAGAGAAAATTCAAGGAGAATAGATAAAACTCAATAAATTTTTTTGTATGTATTATTAAAAATCAAAGTCCTATATTTATAGGTAAGAATCAGTGATACAATGGTAATAATTTCTAGGATTACAAGGGTACAAATGTCATTCACTGATAAATTTTAATGGACTTTCCATTTACAACAAATATATATATTTAGGACTATATTACACTTACATCCATTTTCTTATCTAATCTTTTACCTACACTCACAATAGGAGGACGAGGTCCACGGTTCAGAATTTTTAAATGTGCGTGGGGCCCGCGCACATGTGAAGTAGGGCATTGGTTAGGTTATCAAGATTCGGTACATAGAGTTTAATTCATATATATATATAAAGGTTTATTGTAATTCTTTATCTAAACCTCTAATCTTAGTACTACTTTGCAAGTTCTATGTTCTCATGGTTAAAATTAGTGATTATGAGTAAAAAAGTTTTTGAATGAATTTTGTTTAATGGAAGAAAATAAAAATTAATTATTTGAGCCAATTCAGTGTCCTTAAATTGTCCTTGTCTTAACTCGAAACCCATAAAATAGTGTCATGTTGGGAAGTTGCCTTACGGAGAGCTTTCATGTAGAGTGAAGAAACATCCCACCAAGGCAGACGATAATCAAAGTCCGCTTGATTAGGAAACATAGGAGCCAAAGGCGACAGTGTCAAGCATATAATTATCGTAATTTCAGTATATTGCAAGGGTAATATTTCAATGATCATGTATATGTTGAAACTCCAAAAAAACAGAAGAAATTATTTGGTGAGATAGATTAAAAATTACAAAATAAGAAGAAATTGCCTGTTTGACCAACATTATTTTATTTTGTGGTTTGCTACGGAATTATTTTCAACCACACGTTTACGCGATTACCATGTATACCAAAAAAAATAAAAAATAAAAAAAATCCTACTTTTTAACCACACACTCTTAAAAATCACTATTCCAAATACCTTTTTTTCCCTACAATAATGGTTGTCGAACAGGCTGTTATTCATCATACTTTAATAGTTTGTTAATCACCGCATTCCTAACTTTTATAGAAGAATGACAATAAAAAGGACATTTATAAAAGAAATGATGGAACGCTATAATATCCGCAGCAAATCATCGATATATATTAGTCTTGTCATGGGCCTCGAGTAGTGCTGAAACAAAGGCATCCACGAGTCTGGTCTTCTGGTACCATACCACCACCTTTGCTGGTGTCTCTGGCTTCTAATAGCCTCACAACCTCGTTTCCAGCTTTGCATCCCAACACTTGAGCATGATGCTCGCAAATGCACTTGGACAACATCTAGGAATTTCTGGCCTTAAATTCTGTCAAAACAAGAATTATCGTAAGAGACGGCATTCAACCTAAGATTTTTGCCTCTCCTCTGATACCATAATGAAACTGTCTTAAAAAATTTTAGCGCACACACACGTAGAATTGATTTCTTGTCCTTAGTGGGCATGATAAAAACTTTTCATTATTAACACGGTGAAGAGAACCGTAAGTATGGTTCTCAGCAGAGAACTTTTAACAGTAGGAAGTTTTTATTCTGCTTACCGTGGATACAAGATCAAATCTGCATATATAGATCTGTTAAGACGGGAAATGCTCCTTGGAGCGAAGGGAATATTTTCATTTCAATTTATTCCACAAACAATCCAAACTAGGGATAAATCCCTAATTAAATAGGAAAAGTCCGAAGTGCTTAAATTCATAATCCCGAGAAACTTCCACAGGCAAGGAAACGTATAGTAAAACTCTACACCAGGGTAGAAGATGAACCTGTCGAACTTAAGAAGACACCTCTGCAAAACTCAGATCAGGATAAGGCACATCGCAGCAGTATATTTCCCACAAGCATTTTCCGAAACTGAAACTGTAGACATCACATTTCCTGTTTAAGGCTTACCATCAAGGACCTATAATAATCACCAATAAAGTTCTTCGATCAACGAAACCGTTCATTGTAGAACTGCTAATAATGAAGCTTTAAAAGTAAATATTACCTCTGGGGCCATGTAACCAAGCGTTCCAGTATTACCAGTCATGTCCCTTGGATTCTGAGCTTCAACTCGAGCAACACCAAAATCGGCAATTTTCAGTGTCCTAGTAACATCCAACAGCATATTCTTCGTTTTAACATCACGTTGTACGATTTTTTTTGAACGTAGATAACTCAAGCTGCAGAATCAGGCGGTAAAGGGAGAATATATATGACTACATTCAATGATTACCTCATAGTATAGCGCATGTTTGGCTGTGCTTAATATTTTTCTAGAAAGTAAGTTTTTTAGTAGTAAAAGTGGTAACTTAACTTACTTTTAAGCACAACTAAACATGCTCATAAGCAAGAATATCCTCACCCTCTAGCAAGATCCAAAGCAAGTTGAATAACAACCTTAAAAGCTAACTATTTCTTGCTATTCCTGATTAAGAATTTTTTCAGTGTCCCACCAGGAACGTACTCTACCACAACACAGCAAGCATTCGAAGGAAATGAGTTCTGAACATCAGCCAGTGTGTTCTTGGAAGGGATCTTAAGATTCGATGTTCCCATTGAGGCACCAATGAACTGGAAAGCAAAACTCAAATGAGCATTTGAATTTAAACAACTGAGAAATCATCATGCAATAGCTAGGGACACACAAATTCACCAAGCACTAGATATTATGATGTTCACTTACCCTGCGACAGTAGATCGAACTAGAAGCATATTGGGCATTCATACTTTTGTATTACGTCGTCCGTGTTTTCTACGCTATATAAAGGAATCCGAGGGGTTTGTTTCCCAATTTTGTGCAATAAGATAGAGATGTGCAATGAAAACCTAGTACATGTCCTCCAAAAAAATCTGCCGCAGGAAGTAAATGAATCTCTTACTATATATGTGTTTGCGTTTGTATGTCTAGTTTTTTCATTTCATTCATTATTGCTCTCAGGATAGCGATAGGGCTTGATCCCTAAGATATGATTCTGACTTATTTTGTTAACAATGACTTTAGTAATGGACTAATAACATTATGAACCCTGATATCAGACAAAATCGAGTGCACAACATTTGAACCCCAAAATGGGGTATACAAAGGGTACAAGAAACATCTTCGTTTTCAATTCATCATAGAGCATTCCCAAAAAATATAACGGTTTGGCAAAACATATAGATAATTTATAAATGGTCAAACTTGATTCTCAAAAACACATTCTAATTGACCTACAAGTCTACTTATCCACCACTCATTTCTATCTATTTATAAACTAAACCGTTTATAAAATCTTCACAAATTGAGGAAAAGTTGTAAAGAATTTATCTTCACCTTTGTAACATTTGGATGGTCAAGCTCATGCCAAACAGCCACCTCCTGTCGAATTGCTGCCTGAAGAGCAGAAGTTTCAGCTTCTGTGGCAATACCATCCTCCCCCCAGTCCAATACCTTCACTGTGATACTAAGAAACTCTCTAGTTGTCAGTATAAAGTGAAACGTAGATAACTATATGTTCAACAATTTAGAAACTCCAGGTGCCCATTATACAACAACAGATTTGAGCAATATTTTTCATCGGACTTTACACTGTTAAAACCAAACTGAGTAGTAATTGCAATTTGCCATACACACATGCTTACACAGAGTATTCTATAAAAAGCAGTGATTCTTGGAGCAAAAAGAATGATTACTGGATAAAGAATGTAGCGTGCTAACACTCATGATTTCTAGCAATATACGGGAATGCATACAATAATATTAGGCATTCAACAAATTGCACAATAGCTTTACTTTCGTACTATGTTTCTTCAAATTATTTAGGTATTTTTTATTTGCTGGAGACACGTGTAGCCTCTATATCCATGGTTGTAATTTGCAGATATTTAGCAGCAACCATAAAAATACCCTCTCAAATTGGATTCTTCAAGGTAGGAATTGAACTTTCTTTATAAAGTCAATGTGTAATCTACGCATGTGCAAAATAATTAAATAGAAAGAAGGGATATCTTTATATTGGCTATGGATGAAGTTAAAATTAACCTAGCTCTGCCACAATTTCTTGGTGAACATGAAGTCAAAAGGACATTATGAAGAGACCTGGTAAAATCATTTATGTACAAGGAAATCATAAAATAGTTGAAGATAAAACTTTATTCATATAATAGCTTATCTATGTTGCAGTTATTTCTGACAGTTGACCAAAAAAAAAGAAAAAAAAAAAAAAGGGCCAAAAACAAGATACAGTGAAGTTCTCACATACTTGGGCAAATGTATTTGTTTAAGAACTCTATTAATGATAGAGAACCAAAAAATCCAACAAAGTTACTCCATATGAAAGTCAAATTCTGGTAACACGAGAGTATTTGCTTATCGATGCATAAAAGTGCCAGTCACATTGGATTACACACTACTGAATCACAAACTACTAACTATTGGTACAAGTGCAATGTTCTTTACCTTAGGTGCAACAAAATAACCCCTTGGGGAAAAAGTTCTATAGAGATTAAGCAGATTGCAAAAGGCTGACCTTTTCAAGAATGATTAACGCAATTAATAACCTCAACTTTGCTGGCCTTACGTTTCTATGTGCTTAGAGGCAGGAACATAGTATTTGGAAAACAGAAACTGTCATTGTCCAGTCAAGACAGTAATGCACTTCCATATATTCATGAACGAATTGCCACAAGAATTAATACTAAGATCATGATTTATGACATTTCTTGAACAATTGAAACAACACTTGAAATTGGCGAATATGAAGTTGATTACAAAGTTTTGGAATCTGCAGAAGGGCAATTTAAAGCTGCAAAAGTAAAACTAAATGTCACATAACTTAAAGAATAATGATTATCCAAAAATCAAACCAATTCTAGCAATCCATGAGGTCAACACAAATGGTCGTCATTAACTAATGAAACAGCAATTCATCACATAAGGTCTATAATAAACTTGAGACCCCACTATTAATCCATCATAAACTTAGTTCAATTAGATGGGGAAAAGTTCCAATTTACCTGCAACATCTTGGCCATCACAAAGACCTT